AGTTCCCTTTGTGTCCCCATCACCATCACTTACTCTGCTCTCGGACACATCAGATCTGGGTTGAGGAGCCAGCCTGGGCGAGCTCAGCACCCAAGGTTGCTGGATGCAGCACGTCTTAGCTCTTTATATCAATGTCAGGGAGCTCAAGGCGGTGCACCCGGCCTGTCAGACATTTTTGCCCCACCTGAAAGGCAAGGTGGTGCAGGTCCTCATGGACAACACAGCCGCGATGTATTACATCAACAGTCAGAGTGGCGCCAGGTCCTCGGCCCTGTGTCAAGAGGCGCTCAGACTCTGGGAACTTTGAGCACAATGCCATCCACCTGGTGGCCGCTCACTTACCTGGAACCAGGGATGTCCTGGCAGATCGCCTCAGCAGGACTTTCTCCTCTCACCACGAGTGATCCCTCCATCTGGAAGTGGTCAACTTGATCTTCCGACGGTGGGGGAATCCCCAGGTGGACCTGTTTGCGTCCAGGCAGAACAGGAAGTGCCACGTGTTTTGCTCCCTTTATGGCGGGGACAAGGGTTCCCTGTCATACGCCTTCCAAGTGCTGATGTACGCCTTTCCACCAGTGCTGCTTATCCACAGAGTCCCGCTAAAAGTGAAGCAAAACAGAGCATGGGTCATTCTCATTGCCCTGGCATGGCCTTGCCAGCACTAGTTTGGCATGACGCTGAGTCTTTCGGTAGCCGACCCGGTGCTGTTACCTCTCTCTGTCTGGATCTGCTATCCCAGAACCACAGCAATTTGCTGCACCAGACGGCATGGCTTCTCCGTGGCTAAGCATAGACAAGTGGGAGTGCTCTGCAGCGGCCCAACAGGTCCTGCTGGGCAGCAGGAAACCTTCCACCAGGGCTACCTATGTAGTCAAGTGGAAGTGCTTTGTATGTTGGACCTTGGACAAGCGCATTCATCCTGAGGAGGCCTCAAGTTGTTTCCCAGTTCCACACGGAGCAGGACATTTACTTACTGGTCCTCTGAAGCCTCACACACCAGATGAGGAGCGCAGGTTGCATATGCTAAACGTCAGATGGGTGCTGGCCTTCTACATCGATAGAACGCTGCCGTTCCGCAAGTCAACACAGTTGTTTGTTGCTGTCGCAGACAGGATGACGGGCTACCTGGTGTCAGCCCAGAGAATTTTGTGTCGGATCACTGCGTGCATCCGCCACTGCCACAAACTGGCAAAAATGCCCTTGCCAGCGATTGTGACAGCTCATTCCACTAGAGCGCAGGCGTCTTCTGCGGCATTCCTGGCGCAGATGCCGATCCAAGAGATCTGTCGGGCTGCCACCTGGTCGTCCATCCATACGTTCGCATCGCACTGCGCACTGACTCAGCAGGCGCGAGACGACGCTTACGTTGGCAGAGCTGTACTACAAGGTACACGATAGTGAACTCCGAGCCCACCTCCATTGATACTGCTTGCGAGTCACCTAGAATGGAATCGACATGAGCAAGCACTCTAAGAACAACAGTTACAAAAGGTAGGTAACTGTTTTTTCTTCAAGATGTGTTGCACGTGTCCATTCCATGACCTGCCCTCCTTCTATTCTATATCCGTGTGTGTCGGGTAAGAAAGAACTGAGAGGGGCTGAGGAGGCTCTCCAGGAGGCAGAGTAGGTCCTGTGCTGCTGCATACGCTGCCGGCAGTGTTGGTACCAAGAGATTTTCATGATGCTGCTGCTGTTGCACCAAAGGAATCAGCATAGCAGTGAGAGTTAGTCTCAATGGCCCAGGCACCACTGCTGGAGTGGATGACCTGTGGTCATCTTTCCAGATGACGCTCTACCTTGTCCTAATTGTTTACCGGTGGCTGACTCCAGGGAGATCAATCTTTGGTGAATGGAGGTCTGATCTTCTGTGCTGCTTTCTCAGTACCGGAGGAGGGGATTCATGTTGACTTCCAGAAGCAATGTCTGGAGGGATACTCCTCACCCATGCCAAAGTACTCAGTGCCTGCCGGGAATGGGAGGGTTCAGAAGGTGGATATGCAGCGGGGCCTCCATGAGAATGTGATGCAGTCTCATTCTGTCCTTTTTGGGGCAGGGTTTGAAGTCCCTGCAAATCTGGTATTGGTCTTGAATGTGACCTTCACTTAGGCACTTCAAGCAGGAGGAATGAGGGTCACTCATGGGCACAGATTTCTTGCAGCTGGCATAAGTCTTAAAACCCAGACACCAAGGGATACCTCCATACTGGGTGGAGTACCCTGTGACTAAGAGGGAACGAACTCTGCAGGAAAAATAACAAAAAATACGTATGCTAATCTAACACTAACGAATACCACTAAATGAACTATTCACAGAGAAGACGATAATTGCGAGGGAGGGGGGTTTGGGGAGGCTCTGCCCTTTATACCATTGTGCAGCAGTAGAAAATGACTGACTGCACATGCTACCCCGATGGGTACCGCCAAAGGAAAAATCTCCAACTCTGGAGCACTGGCTATGCACTCCTTGAAGTGGAATAGACATGTGCAATCACTTAAAGAGCAACAGGAACTGAACAGGTTAGTAAAAGGTTTGTGTTTTTTTTTTTCCCCCTAAGGCCCAGTCCAGTACCTTATCCACTTGACTAGTCTTCCTCCATTCCCCACAAAGTACTCCAAAGAGCTGACATAGCTGATATTTTAAAAAGATCAGGATTTATATTGTATAATACAGCTCTAAAGAAAAATACATTGGTTCAGTCAAAAGGGAAAATCTCTCTCTGTGGGGGAGGGAGATCCATTCAGTCTTGTTATGTTGCAGTTTCTGCACTGGTCTTTTTTAAGGCACACTTTTTAGCACTTAAGTTTGTAATTATTTCAGGCAGTTTTTGCACTTTCATTTCACAAATTTGTTTGCTGTTTTCTAAAATGTAAAAGCAGTCTGTGGGGAGTATAACAAGTCTAAAGATTTATGTCAAATGATCTATAGTGCGGTAACAGTTTGCTGAATTTTTTAATAAGATTTCTGTTTAACTACACAGTAGTCAGTGTGGCCAACATTTTCAAACTTGGTTACCTGAAATTAGGCATCTACATCCATAGTTATCACCTTAATATGTGTCATCCATAGCTTCCTTTGAAATCAGTATGTCCTGTAAGTGCTCTGAACCTTTCTAAAAAGCAAGCCATTTGTTATAGGTGCCTAGGTGTGGATTTTAGGTTACTAACAACCACCCAAGTTAAAAAAAAAAATGTAAGAAATTGTGAATTAATATTTGGCAATGACAAAAGCGAGTGACTTTTGATATCCAAAGGAACCCCACAACCTCTAACAAAGTTCATTTTAATACAATGGAGGAGATATCTTTTTGTGTACTTAGGTTAGGCAGGATTGTGTATGAGGGGGTATGCAGGGTTCCGCAGGCTGCTTGCCGCTCCTCCATGTACCTCCCACGAAGCTCCCATTGGCCGTGGTTCCCTGTTCCCGGCCAATGGGAGCTGCGGGGGAGCAGTGCCTGGAAGCCAGGGCAACACATGGAGCCCTCTCTAGCGCACACACACACACACACACACACACACACACACACACCCGACCCGGCCGCGACGG